GCCGCCTTCCTAGCAAGGAGGGGACGAGGGGAAGGCAGGCTGAGCTATTTGGGGAGTCCCCGTACCTGTTCGAGGGATGATGATTATGAACCTCCCGCTGGTGGCCAACTGCTTGACAACAGCCAGGTGCTGGCAGAGGGCCTGGGTGTCCGGGACAAGGTAAGGAGACATGGCTGACTGCGCTTTGGGCTGCTGGAGACTTCCTTCCAGCTGAGAAACCTCCAGCTGAAACAAACCCACACAGGCAGAGACAATTGCTTCAAGTTTATGCCGAAACAAACCATCAAACAGGGCGAGACTTGCCCTGAGAAGCTCCACCAGGCCCTTCCAACCTCCCAGGAGAGGGAGCAGAGGGCTGGGTGCTGCCCGTGGGTCAGAGGGAGGTGACTGTCCCACTCTACACTGCACTGACGCGGCCCCACCTCCAGGTTTTGGGCACCTCAACACAAGGACACCAAACTACTAGTGTCCAGAGGAGGGCAACCCCGATGGTGAAAGGTCTCGAGGGTTGAGGAGCAGCTGAGGTCACTTGGCTTGTTCAGCTTGGTGAAGAGGAGGCTGAGGGGTGACCTCCTCACAGCCTACAACCTCCTCAAGGCGGGCAGCGGAGGGGGAAGTGCTGATCTCCCTCTGGTGAGCGCTCGGACACGAGGAAACGGAACGAAGCTGCCTCAGGGGAAGCTCAGACTGGACACTACGAAAAGGTTCTTCACTGGGAGGGCTGTGGGTCACTGGAACGGGCTTCCCCAGGGAAGGGGTCACGGCACCAAGCCTGTCAGAGTTCGAGGAGTGTCTGGATGGTGCTCTTAGTTTTAGGTAGTCCAGCCCTGAGGGGGGCAGAGAGTTGGACTCGATGATCCTTACAGGCCCCCTTCCAACTCGTGACGTTCTGTGACTCTTGTCTTTGCAGAACAGCCTTAGCGCCCCCGGGCGGGATGGGAGCCGAGAGCTCCCCCTTCCCTTCCCACTTCCAGACATTTCAGCCACTCCCCTGTCAGTTTTCAGGCCGGAACCAGCATCTCCTCCCTAGAACCAGCATCTCCTACCTGCAGTCGAAGCTGAGCCATATCTCTCATCAGCCTGTTCCGACGAGCCTCCTCTGCAGCCTGGTTACAAAGACAAACTTCCACATCAGTTAGCAGGAAACACACACGCCGACACCAGCAAGAGGGTGAAAAGGGGACACGTGAGTAGCTTTCAGGAGCAAAACTTTCACCTCCCACCAAAGACCCGTGACGATTACACCACCTAACAGTCACCTCCAGGAAACCGGGCCGAGAGCGTCAGCCCACCTCTGCCGACTCACCATGTGAAACTGGGCTTGGGCCTGGTGCAGCAAGTTGTCTTGCTCCGACTGGGCGATGCTGATGAAGAGCCCGAGCTCGGGGTTGAACTGCAGGATGCTGCCTTGCAAGTGGGTGATGAAGTGGCCAAAGCTCCGAATGCAGCAAATCCGGACGACGGACTGCAAAGAGGCAGAGGGACCATCACCCACCGCGGCTCCCCACGGGGGCCGCAGCCGGAGCCGGCGCCGACCCTGCAGCTCACACTCTCGGAAAAAGGCAGAAACCGCGATTAAAAACCAACCCAAAAGGAAACATTTTGGATGGAAACACGCTTCTGAAGACAGAGACTGCAGCGGAGGGCTGCAGGGAAGCCTACAGCTGGCCAGAAAGCTTAGAAGTGCTCGCAGCTGGGGCTTCCCCAGCTCAAGAAACCATCAACGGGCTCTCCCCGCTCGATCTCTGGCTCAAGCCCTCAAGTGCTGGGAAAAGGAAACAAAAGAAAACGACCACTTAGATCTGATTTTGGGGCAGGGACTACTCTTGGCTGGGTAAAAGCAGCAAAAGGTGAGCTCACGTGGGATGGGAGATTGCTCCGGCTGCCCTGGCAGCTTGGGGTGACATTCAAGACCTCAGCCAGCCCCCTGAACACGGGGGGCCCTTCCATCGCCTTCAAAGGGAGGGTGTCGATGCATTCCCCGCTCCGAAGGGAGCGGAGTGCTCCAGCAAGGCAAGAGAGGGGAACAATGGCCTTTTCCTGCACACCTCCGCTACCCAGAAACCACCACCTTGGCCCTCTGTGCTCGGGGAAGCGGAGGGAAGTGCTCTGCGAGGGCACAGGGTGCCACAAGAAGCGAGATTTCACCAATTTTTGCATTTATTAGAGAAGGATCCCGGGAAGTATCCCACAGCTCCAACCCAATTCCCTTCAATCAAGGCAGGGCGGAGGTAACAACTCTTCTGCCCAGGCAGGGAGGTTGGGAGACTTCAGGCAGCAAAGCTGTCAACGTGTGGCTGCTCCCTTCCCTAACGACTCCGACAGGGAAGGGGAGGCAGGCAGTTTTTCTGGAACACTGATTTTTGGATAGACAGATGACGGCAGCCAGCATCAATAACGTGAACCCACCTCAGACTCAAAAGTTTGAATCGGTTTGGGGTCTTTTTTTGGGAAGAAAGAACTAAATCTTCACCTGCAGAGCTAAGAGGCCGTGAATTAATTTCTCCCTCCAGAAAGGGCAACGCAGCTCGTGCCAAGATTCGGGATTTACCCCGACTCACCTCCTCAACCGCTGAGAAAATGGGCCGGTCCTGCTCGAAGTTAAACCTCTTGTGGGCATTTTTCAGAGGGGGAAGATTTCGTAGGGCCACATCTTCCGGGAGCAGCAAGTTGGCTTTCAGGTCTGGCAGCTCAGCACCGCTCAGAATGTCCTTGACTTCATTACACAGGGCCAGCCCTGGAGGGGACAGAGGGGAAGCACAGCAAGACACGGTGACGCGAACAACCGATGGGGGGGACAAAGAGGAAAACTGCTTTAAGCGCGCAGTCTGTAAGGATCAAGGACAGAGGCTGGAGGTTACGCGTGGACCCCGAGCTGGTGCTGAAGGTGGAACAAAGAGGCCACCCCCAATACAAAGAGGAACTGTCCCAAACGACCTGCTGAGGCGCATCCCTTCGGAACGACCGGAGTTTGGAGGGTTGGCTTTCCCGTTCGTTCCAATAGACATCTTTAAACTACGCTTCTCACGACCCACGGGGATCTTTAGGCTGAGGTACGGGGCACATCACGAGCATTTGGAGCTTCAAAACTAGTTTCCACAACTGCCATGACAAAAATCACGCCCTTACTCGTGGTCTCGACGGTAAATTCCAAGCACGTTGGCCACGCAGGGACTCCAGGCACGGAGGTGCCAGCGCTTCAGTACACACCAGCCACATGTAACGCCTTAACGGAGCTAAAGGCTATGGGACAGTATTTAACTGGGACAGCATTTAACCACAAACCCAACACATGTCGCTTCCCACCGTGCTTATAACCAAACTGCTGGTGGCAAATCTCTTGCCCAGGGTCTGTCCCACACCATGGAAGTCCCCGACACCTCGGCTGGCTCAAACACAACTTGGCCACTGCCTCCCCCCAGTACCTGATTCCTGCAGGTCTGCAGCAGAAGGCAGAAGGTTCAGGAGCACGGACAGCCTGTTCCACAGGCTCTGAGAGCTCTGCAGGAACGAAACACAAAAGGCCACAGGAAATGTCAAGACAGACGTACGCAATAACCAGAGCGCTTGGGCCTTCCAGCATCTTCCCCAGACCTCAGAATGCTTTGTGAAGAGGAAACTTCGCTACACTCCTCAGCTCAAGATTATCTTAATTCAGCTGGTGGGGTATTTAATGTCACCTTCTGTCTGGGACTGGGCCAGCAGCTTCCATCTGCCCTTGGCATCCCAGCCCAGGGGGACCGAACGGACGCAGCCTTGGACTCGACACCGAGCCCAGCTCCCACCTGAGCACACATGATGATGAGATCCGTGTTTGTCCTCAGCCAGTCCAGGAACACCTTGACAGTGAGAAGCAGCCCTTCGTTGGTCACAATCTCGAGCTTCTCCTGAAGGGATCGCTCATTCCTGCAGGATTTGTTACTTGAAATGCTTTCCTCGGAGTCAGACACGTCATCTGGAAGAGGAAGGGAACAGCAGGATGGGGGGCATTAAACCCCTTGAGAAGCCAAGGCCTGCTGGTACGAGAACAGCACCGGGCTGGTAAGAGCGGAGCTGAAGTGCTCGGTGCCTCCACACACCCTCACAAAACCAGTTCCCCATCGCCTGTGCTGCTGCTAAGAGCGCATCGCTGTTCAATTTTCTTCTTCGTTGGGAGAAGATCGCCAAAATCTCCCTGTGAAATGTCTGACAAACCCCTTCAGCCCTGCAGCCGCCTCCGAGACGCTCCCTAACAGAGCAGGGGGGAGCAGCACGTGCCGGCACGAGGCATTTACTGCCGAGAACAGCCCCAGCGACCGCTGGTCAGGTCAGCAAGCGCCAATCTTTGGCCTGTGCCAAAGAAGGAAACAGCAGGGCTATTTTCTGAGCCAGGGTCCAGGTGATTTTAAGGACTGACTACGCTTTGCAATCCTGGAATTCTACAGCCCCGAGGATCTCGAAGCCGCTGCCAACGAAACAGGAGCGCTGGCCAGTGACCCCAGGGGAAGGCAGCAGCAAGCTGGGAATCCACGACGCGTTTTGCTCCAGTCCCTTATTTTAATTGCGCCGTCATTCCTCCCTATTAGCACCGCAATCAACATTCAATCAACTCTCAGAAGCAAAAGGGAGGAAGTCATTTATTCAGAAACCATCCCCGCCAGAGCGTTGAGGCCATTAAACAGCCCGAGTTTTGAAACGGCACAGCTGAGGCAAGGAGAGCTCAAAGCTAAAAAGCACGTGGGCTAATTCATTCCACCTCTCATTTTTCCTGCATCCATAAAGGTATCACGACCACGCTGTTCAAATGCGTGCCTGGAGCTGCAACATCTGTGTAAGCCATTGAAGGAAAATGTTAAACAGACCAAAAATCGCTGGTTTCTTCCTTTACTCTTCAAGCGGCTACGAAGCAGTGCTGGGAGCCGGTAAACACTAACGTGCTCTAATACTCCCCCTTCAAATCCTGGCCCAGGCAAAGTCTGAATCCTGCCAGTGCTGCAGGCCCACTGAGTTTGGCAGCACGATGTAAAAATGTTTCCTTGCTCCAGGGAAGCTGGGAGGAACGACAAACAAGACCGAACGGGCCCACGTGGTTTTATCTGAAATACAAACAACTCCCCGGAGCGCATCAGATCTCCCTTTTCCAGCTGTTTGTCCCCAGGACGTTACTCAGCGGTGTAAGCTGCGCGGTAACAGAGACGTTGCAGCTCCACCTGCTGTGCATCCGCCGGGCGGTTCGGCCCCGAGCGCTCCGCGGG